GGTTCATACGCCATTTGTTCCCGCAGGATACTGGAGCCCATGTGCACCATTGCTTTGTGATCCGGTTAAAGCGCCGGACGTTCGCTTTTCGTCCTCTCATTTTCGTAAACAACACCCCCGCCACGAGAAGGCAATGAGTAGGACTTCCCTGGCAGAGGCTGTATACGCGCGGCCGTGTGAGAGTATTTCGAGAGGGAGAGCGGACTCTCCCCACTCTCGGCCGTACCAGGGCGTTCGGGGGCGTTACCTACATTGACGAAAGATAGTTTTTTCTTGAGGTATCTGAAAAGAGTATTGAATAGGTAGTGATTTTGCCGACCTGGAAGGGTGACCGCTGACCTCAAGAGACAAATGGTTAGAGCCGATCAAACTGCTTTTTTCTGAGTAGTTGTTAGTGTGTTGGTTCTGCACTTCATATTCTTATTTACCCACAATTATTTTCTTTGAGTTCAGTGGTATTTATAAGCGGAATTCAGGATGCTCGTTTTAACAATAGTTAGATATAAATTTTTTTAAATAAAATTTCTAACCATTGTACATGTAAGCGGCTATGTGACCTCTGTAGCTCATCAGAGTTAATGCGTCGGGCGTGAAGTAGTCGAACGCGTTGACAACTTCACTTATTTGGAAGTCTGATCAGACCTAATTGATTGGTGTCGGACGAAGTCTCAGCACGGATTCGAAAAGCTCGTTTGGTCTTTGCCAACTTACGTCACGTATGGCGAAGGCGAGATATCCGTCTATCAATAAAAGGACGAGTATACTGCGCCGCAGACCGTTCTGTTTTTATTTACGGCAGCGAGACATGGCCATTAAGAGTAGAAGACACTCGTAAGCTACTAGTATTTGACCACAGATGCCTTAGAAATATTGCTGGCAGCTGCTGGGATCACCGGGTAAGTAATTGTGAGGTCCGTTGCAGGGTATTAGGAAATTATGGTAAATCAGTCGATGAGGTTGTGAATGTTCATCGACTGAGATGGTTGGGCCACGTGTTACGTATGCCTGAACACCGATTACCACGACGTGCAATGCTAACCGGTGTTAGAGATGGTTGGAAGAGAATTATTGGCGGCAAAACCAAAACGTGGCATCAGTGCTTGAAGACACTAACTTCTAGTCTGAGTCATGTTGGTAGATGCAGACTACTTGATTGGGGTCCGCGTGACTTTCGTAAACAACGGTTGGAGACTGTTGGTGACATGGCTCAGAATCGATCACAATGGCGTCGGTGTATACACTCCTGGTGTTCGTTTAAACTAAGAGAATAAAATCACTTCGTATCTTTCTTTCTGCTAACTAATTCTTTCTTCCTATACTATATCCTTATATGCAATCTTTCTCCTATATATTACCACCTTTAACCTAACCACTCCTATGAATACGGTGTTCATCTTGTTGTGCTAATGCGGTATGGCAACCTGGACCGATGCATATATGTGCCTGGTCCTACGTTGTAGCTGACTGACTGACTGACTTATTACTATCAGATTTGTACACTAAAATTGATGAGCATTTTATTCAGTCAATAACAATATTGTTTACGTTACAGACTGACTATTATTTAGAAAACCACAGAAAACCAAGCGGTATGACCTGATAGCTATTTCGTTCTACTATGGCTATCAGTGAGATCCAATACACGCGTTTCATCCTGTCTGGGTTTTGTCAGCTGGATATGTCTGCGTCCCAGAGTTGATGTTCACTCTGGTACTCGAGCTTACTACCGTCTGCTTGGAGCACCATCGGGTCATCCATTTAGTTACTGAGTTAGGATAGCCGCTCATTTGTGAAATGTGCTGACGTTTAATTCATAAAATACAAGTATACCCATGTGATGAGTCCTAAATAAAACGTAACGCACGTTCTGGATTCCACTGTTAACTACTATCCATTTTTGCTTATAATGCTTGTAGCTTAAGGTAATATTGGAGATGGTCATATACTACTAAGAGACTGATCAATTCAAATCCTATACATAAATGAGAAGATTAAAACAACCAGTACAAATATGAATTAACGTTATATATATATATTTGACTACAATTCGATCAGATTGATTGTTTGTCTATTCAATGTACTTTTTATTAATCATATTTGAATAGTTTTGATAGTTTTTAAGCCTTCACTTAGTTTATTGGTTTAATTACAAATCGTTCTTTGTTGTTCTGAACAACTTGATCAGAGTCATACAGAAGTTTGTGATAATCAAATGATCCAACTTATCGAAAATAACATCACCTAAACACATTCATTACAACCTCAATCCCTTTGGATTATTTTATAGAGTGAAAATGAAAATAGTGATGATCTGTTGTTTTGTTGTACTTCAAAGACTCTTCAGTGATACTAAACGTATTCAAGCCATCAGGTGTTTAAATCATGAAATGCAGAGTCTTCTGACCACTCTAAGCAACAATGCAAGCATGTTCGGGATGCGATTCTCTCCATCGAAATGCAAAATGTTGCTTCAGGATTGGGTTACATCGACACCCGAACTAGTGATAGGAAGTGAAGTAGTTGAGTGTGTCGACCGCTTCACTTATCTTGGAAGTCTCATCAGCCCTTGTGGTCTGGTGTGTGACTAAATCTCAGCACGGATACAGATGGCTCGACTAGCTTTTGCCAACTTGTGTCATTTATGGCGTAGGCGAGATATCCGTCTGTCAACCAAAGGACGTGTTTACTGCGCAGCAGTTCGTTCCGTCCTACTTTATGGCTGTGAAACATGGCCGGTAAGAGTAGAGGATATTCGTAGGTTACTAGTATTTGATCATAGGTGTCTTCGAAGTATTGCTCGTATATCCTGGGACCACCGAGTAAGTAACGCAGCTGTTAGGAAACGGGTACTAGGTAAGGATGGCAAATCAATTGATGAAGTAGTGAAACTTCATCAGTTGAGACTGCCGGGACACGTGTTACGTATGCCCAACCACCGACTGCCTCGACGTGCTATATTCAGTGGTATAGGAGTAGGTTGGAAGAAAGCTAGGAGCGGCCAGACCAAAACATGGCACAAATCCATGAAGTCACTGACAAGTGGACTGAGTCATGTTGGTAGGTGTAGACTACCTGGTTGGGGACCGCGAGATGATAGCAACCGATGGTTAGAGACCCTGAATGACATGGCTGAAAATCGTTTGCAATGGCGCAGGTGCATCCACTCTCTATGTTCTCCCAAATTCTAGTTATCTGAATTCTTCATGCCCCTTTTTTTCCTCTTTCCAAATTTATTTCACTGGATTATACTCGTTAAATAACATCTCCAAACCCTAATCTTCCCGATTACTGCTTATACTCTTGCTACCTCTACCACTACGGGATTTGAATCGACCACTGCATCTCTGTGCTAATGTGGTATGGCAACTCGAACTGATGTACGTACGTACTAAGTTCTACGTTGTTACTGACTGACTGACTGACTGACTGATAGAACTAGTATTGAACTACTTGTTATTGGATTCCAGTTACACATATTTTCGATTTTCAGTTGATATATGACATAATATGTGGCCATTTGACACAGTGCATCAGTGTTAAAAATGTTTACAGCAATAACCCTTAGCAAAGCACATAATGGTGGTATCTGATAGCTGTGTGTAAATTTGATAACAGTTTACGATCAACCGAAACCCGAACCAAGAGCAAACAATATGGAAACTGTTGCGTTTAATTAAATGCACAAAACTGTGGATAACGGCTACAGTGATCGAGGTACAGTAATTATAATGATAAATAAAATGATAAGTACAATAAACGTTATAAGTTATGTGAACATTTCAGAATATTACAGTACAACTTGCGCTACAACATAAGTGTGAAAATTGGTAGGAATACGACTGCTTACTGAATGTAAATAAGTAGTATAAAACAACATACAAAAGAGTGGAAAGGGAATGAGCGGGATCAATGTAAAACAAACTTAACACCAATATATATCTTGTAAATAAATATCATAATTACCAAGTAAGTTAGAAGAGAGAAAGAGAGAGATAGAGGGAGTGAGGGTGATTGAAACTAGATATGTATAGACAAGTAAGAAATACTCAGTGAAAATAACTATCCTAATAATGATATGTGTGATTTGCAACGATTAATTTGCTATAATACTTAAATTACATAAATACATAATTGTTCCAGTTAAAATGATTGTTACATTGAAAGAGAAACGATAATTTTGTTTATTGTTGATATTTTTCATGAATTAACATGGATTTGGGGGATATTATTAAAACATACGGTTCATTGTACAGATGCTTCATGGTAGAATGAGATTCCTCAGCAGTGGGTACTAACAATTTCAGTGTGGATTGAACCTAAGTACGTTCAAGTTTAACGGTCAACTTCGAGAGGAATTTGTGAAAGTTCTAGTGAAAATTCGAGACGAGTGCAGTTCAACCGTGTCGGGTATGAGACATTTATGTTGCTAACGTATTGCAAATAGTTTACAAATAACGAAATCTTTTGTTCTAATTCTTTTTTCCAGTAGCAATTAATATTAAGCATTTTCAACTTGATCTATAAATACAGAGTGAAAAGCATGATAAACGTATTTTTTTCATAATAAATTCTAACTGTAATTCAACTGAATAAGTTTTAGAAAGATAGATTTATTTGTAGGTTAAATTCGTCTCAGATTGACATTAGTTAGGGGAAGCATAGGTTTTTGTCAGACGAAGGTTTCGACAGACAATCTCGCATTGATTGTTAACTGATTGAATAGAAAATTCGTTAGTTCAATGTTTATTTTAAATTATCAATGGATGTCGGCTCAGTGATTTGGAAGTTAAGCGTTTGCGTGCGAGACCGATAGATCCTGAGTTCGGATCGTGCGATGCGGTGTTCTTGAATATGCACTTCCAGGAAGTCCTCCAGTGCTTCCATGTTTTCCATGGTAGTCTTGCTTTAATTGTCTCATGATGTCAACTATTAAAAATATCAATTATTTGTTTAAAAGAAAAGGAATCAATAACACTTATTCATTTTTATTTATTTTATAGCTGATGAACGTGCCACATTTGTTGTATAAATCACTAAACATTTACAAGAAATGGGGAAAAAACACAAAATTATCCTTAAATAGTAATCAATTGAATATGAACAATAGCAGTGATATGATGTTGAAGACTTTGACAACTATCGACCAATGAGAATTAAACACTACACACATTCATCATTGTATTTGAAAGCCGCCAATCATAATGATCAAGTTCCACATGTTTCATCAGGTAATTAAAACAAACCAGAGGGACACATTCAATATGTATATGTATGTATATCAAGTACTCATGCAGTATAGCCACTGAACTAATAACTAATCATAATTATTATACTGATCAGTCTATAAATTAAATGGTGTATATTGTGATAATTATGTATAGAAAGGACTATTTTAACACCGACTAGTGTAACCATTTCATAATTATCTGGAAAAGTTGATAAAGGTCTGTCTATATGATGCATCTTTTTATCATGTAATAAATGTGTAGTGAACAAGAACACCAATGGGGATAACTAAATTTATTTGAGTATAACATTACAGAATCTCTTAGTAAAATCTTAGAACCATACAGTAAATACTTCATTTGCAAAGTGGTAATTAATTGTTTCAGACTTGATTGTTCCTTCGTTTCTACACCAATCATTATCTGTTTTCATTCTCTTCGATCTTCTTAACCTTCTACCACCAGGCATTTCACTTTCGACTGATGATACATACTACTTATATCAGTCGACATCAGAACACACCACAAATATATTAATAACAGATCTAAACACACACATATTGATAAGAGAAAGTAACTTGAAATTAATGTTGATAGTTCTTTATGAAGTATACACTTTTTTATATATAATTGTCTTTGAGTAACATTTTCATTGTATCGGAACTACCAGTGATACTACTGATTTACTACTGAAATCAAAGTCAATCGTGAATAGAACATGAATACCTGATTGATTGATGGATGGATGGATGGATGAACTGTGCAAGTAATAAAATAAACCCTGATGCTTGAATTGAATATAAATATAAATCCTAACTGTATGTACTAATGCGGTGTTGTGTTAATAGCTTACACAATTTATCACGTTACTTCAATACTGAAAATGTTGCATCAAGCTACTCCAGTTGTTCGTATAATGTTCTCTTTATTATTAATAATCTTTTGATAAGTAGAAAGCAACAAAGACAAGTATATTGGAATTCATGTATTGAAAATCTGATGAGAAAAAGTGGTTGCATCATCTGAACTGATAGAAAATTTTCATCATTAAAGATGAATCGACAGGTCCAGGCTACTAAAGTTTATCGTAATATTACACAACTGATGCTGAGAATTTGTTACCGATGCACAATTTATAGTAGTGAATATTGTTATTATGATCATAGAAGTCAGAATAGTTTAACGATCTGTCTGCAGTGCATTACTGAAAGTGGCAGTCTTAACAAAAGAACTATTTGATACTGAAAAATAATCAGCAATTATTTTTCTCAATAGTTGAAATCATGAGTCAATTGAAACTAGAACACCATGGAAAACGTAAAAGCACTAGACGGCCGTTTTATGTTAGTATGTGACTCCTCAGTAGTGCTTCCAACGGTGTTAATGTCTAGCTTCAACCAATCCACGATTAATGTTTAATTCTGATGATACTCCTCACTCTCTGCCGTACCAGGGCATTCGGGGACTGCTTCTATAGAATGATGATCTTATGTGTAATTGTGTATGTGTATCACTTTGCTTTCTTACATGTACACAATGATTTTGTGTTTTAATTGAATGAATTAATATTGAAGAAAAACTTCGGTGCTTGTCTTTTGAACATTGAATATTCATGTTCTTATATTGGTATGCAGATATGGTGTGGTATATCAGTTTATTCTCATCAACTTCAAAATAATCTACACATATATTGAATACTGTATGTTAAGTAAACGATACTTGCTACGTCAATCCTCATTTATCAATAAGGGGTTTCAGGAATTATTGAAATTCATTTCAGTCATGAAAGAATTTTTACAATCCTTTAATGATAATTATTGTTTTAATTAGTGAGAGAGAATTTCTGAAGTTCTTGTGATAAGCCGTAATTGGTTGAATCGGACTGTGTTGAGTGTGATGCAGTTATCCACCAATGACGATGGAAGATGATCGCCTAATGCCCTTGATCGATTGAAGTTAAACATTAATATCTTTAGATACTGAATCAGTGGTGCAGAGGTTTAACGTCCTCGAGAGACCTACGGCACTGAGTTCAAGTCACACATGCGGGATTGTAGATGCTCACTTCTACCGGGTATCGTACCTAGGACCTTAAGAGCATACGACATATCAAATTTCAACTAATTCACGATAGTGTTTTCTACTTTGGCCTGAAATTCTGTTTGCTCTCCACTTTTCAACTATACTACTAATAAGAATAACCCCATTGATATTTTTCTGTTTTTAAGTAAAATAACTTATCATAATAGGATGGTAAGTTCATATTGGTAAATCGCTTTCAATGTGTCTGTAGGTATCTCTATGTTGGTTTGTACATGTGTGTTTGTGTGTGTGTGTGAATGTGCATGTAACGATAATATTCATAAAAGCTGACAACAGTTTCTCTTCGAGATTCTTTGAGGTAATAATAATGATAATAATGACAGTGATAACAATAAGGATAACAATGACAATCTTTATAATGTTAAATGTTCTAACTGATTTTGTAAATGATCTTGTCATTCAGCATGTATTATGTTGGTTTATGCTTCAATTGTGTTCTTCAGTGAATAACTCTTTGTACCTGTGTAATGTTAACCCTATTGAAATGAGTTTATTATTACTATTATTCATAATTATTATGGTTAGTAGAATTCTGTGAATAATAATAATAACAACCAGGAATTTGTATTTGAACACGTTTTCTTCATTCAATGGTTCTAAATACGATCTGTTGCTTCTTTTTTTATATTTACTTATTAATTTACTTGTCTATGCAAATGTTAATCAATTATCTGTACAGTTAGTAGTTATGGTTATTATTATTATCAGGAACTGATATTAGTCTGTAGAAAATATTGAAAGAACCTGGAAGTGATGGATAACTGATTTTGAGATAGTTCAAGAAGTCTGCATTCGATATTTTTCGATTTGGATAGATGCTGTTTCCGCGCCCTTGTCCAACCAGTTAACCTAGTCAAAAGACTGAGAAGTGATTATGAACCTTTAACTGACAAAACCGAATAAGTAGTTACATAGATCATTGAAAAGCATAGGTTTGTACCTCTGAATGAGACAAGGAAATGTTGTCGAAGACCTTGACTTCGGGGATAATCGAATTTTTTTCAATAACACATCTAGCTGATACAACAGTAATGACACGAGAAGGCAGTGAATAGGACTTCTTTTGGAGTGGTTTTATGCACGCGGCCATGTGAGAGCATTTCAAGAGGGAGAGCTGACTCTTCCCAGTCTCAGCCGTACCAGGGCATGTATATATTACATAACTATATAGAAATATATCTGTTTGTTTTCATCGAGTGAATTTACCCTTCAAAACATGACATGTTTATGTTTGCCTAATGTATGTTGACTTAATTACGCTTTATGTTTTATACTAATAATAAACATACAAAGTTCAAACTCATTAATTCCTTAGAGTAGTGATACTCCTTTTATTTTAGCATATTTTCAATGGCGTTTTCTCCTAAGGAATGCATTATTTGTCAAACTTTTACCATTGCACTTGTTGTAATCATCTTGTATGTTTGAAAACGTTGATTATATGTATATATGTCGCTCATTTTAATATAATCAACAGATGGATTAACCGCACTATTTGGTGTTTTCATTATGTTAATTCACAAACAAATCTGATTTGTGTAAAGTGAAATCGACTTCTGTAGGTAGAATAGGATGTTCTTGTGCAACACACATCTCTTTACAATACAGTCCTACAGGATATATGTGTATATACATGATTTTATTATTGTGAAAGAAGATTTTTCTAATAATGAACGTTCCCCTTTATATCCAAATCCTACGTTGCATCAGTTTTGAACCATCCTTGGTAGTCCTTCTTCTTGCATCTCTATTGAATATGAATATATAATTGAAATACTTGATTCTTTTATATACTCTACACACTCTTTTGTTCTTCTTCTTCAATAATTCGTAAATTATTTCCAGTTATTTTGAATGTCAATGTCTTCGTTTATGTGTTCTGTGAATGATGCCGTGTATTATCAGTTTTTATACATCTGTCATGTGTATCTGTAGAGATTTACCGATGAGTTATACATCCAATCTATCTTTTTTTTGTCAAGTACATATTTTTGTACTTCACTTCAAGACTTACTCCAAAATGTATCACAGCTAGTTGATACTACAATCCGAATTTGTTTGATCAATGAAGACAGCATGTTCCACACTTGCGGTTTACAGTCTGATAGTTCATAGTGCATGTTTGTTTGTTTGTTTGTTATTTGTCCACTGAATATTTGAAAAGGAACTATTTCTATTTCTTTGAAATGTATATTTATGAAAGCTCTTTTTCTCTTTATTTTTAGTTGACTTAGGCTCTATACTTGGAATATGAATATTCCTTTTGGCCACTCTTCTTGTTGTCTGTCATCTAAAGCATAAGTAAGTTGTAGGTTTTTATTATATATATATATATATATATATATATATATATATATATATATATATTTGTGTATTGATGTGGGATGTAACGCTGTATGATGGTTGATTTGTCAGTGTATTTATACACATCAGTGGATGTCTAGTATACTTCTTTAACATGAATTATTTACCGACTCCATTTATTCTTGATAAATTTAATACTTGAATAATGTATACTGATTCTCTAACCTCGTTCTAGTCCTTCTACATAAAAATGTCATACACTTATCACTTAAACAGAATGGAAAAAGTGAGAGGTGTCGAATGAACAGTTGAATTCTGTGGTTTATGTATGACGATAATATGTTAGGAGCTGCGAAGTTGGTAATCATCCAACCAAGATATGATGCATAATGCATTGCTTTTGCTGAACTTCCTGAGAAGATCGCATCAAAAACCGACTGCAATAAATATACTTTTTAGCCATTTCCTAGGTGTTGATGAATTTCTACCGACAATTTCTGTGCCATTAAATGTTCATTTACTTTATCATAGTCAAATAAGATTATCACTATGAATAAGAAACTTTACCAAACTATCAATCATATGATTGTTGGTAAGCAAAGCACAAATGTTGTAGGATACAGCTGAAAAAGTATGTGGGGATCTGATGAAAAAGCAATACGAAAAATGACAGAGATCATAAAGATTGGTAGCACTGTAATCAATTTCATGTCATGACGCTTGATTTCTATAACCATTAGATACGGTTGTCTTATTGGCCCTAACTAAGCTTTATTCAGCTTACAACTGACTGATTGTTAAGTGGCAGCCAATATCGCATTTGTGCAATCTTGTAATGTTGATGGAATTCTGTTAACTATGACGTTGGTTTAAATCCCACAAGTAATATTAGTTTCCTATAAAGATTACATATATGCCTTACTAGTGAGTGTCATAAAACATATAACCCCTAGGTCAAAGAAGATTTCCTATTGACTGTCTTCAACTAACTCGAACAGTCTCCTCCTACTAACACAATTTAAATCAATAATCGCTAATAAATTACTCGATTGATATCACGTGTTAAATTGATCATCTTTACTTCATTCCCAATCTGTTTTCGTGTGTACATTATGCTTTTTAATAGAAAATCGTCTAGATTATCCTTTATTGTATTTTTCTGTTTAGATTATTTGAACATTATCATAAAACTATTGATGTAGCTGCAATATCATCGTCAAATCGTCTTGGTTCCTGTTCATTGGGAACATTTAGTAGATCTAAAGATACTTTATTATTTCCAACATGTAAAAAATCTCTCATGTCATTTCATAATAACACTGCCAACAACAACAACAGCAACAATCAGATCGTCGACAGATTATGAATTCATTACCATGGCTACGGACGAATTCCACAACTCATATTAGCAGTAATAATGGTGCTCCCTCTGTCTTTAATCATAATGCTAATCATATTAATAAGAATAATAACCATTCAAGATTTGAAGCATCTAGTGAAACGATTTTATTTTTTTCATTGAATCCACCGAATGGTATGCCACATTCATATT